CATCCAACCCTCCATAAAAGCACTCCCGGTATTCCTCCCACAGCTATCCATCAACATACCCCTCCCTCCCTCTCCCTCCCTCTCCCTCCCTCTCCCTCCCTCTCCCTCCCTCCCTCACAACCACCAACCCTCCCCACAGCCTCCAGCCGTCAGGCTTTTCAAGCCCCCAGCGTGGGGAGTTGGTGGGGTGGGGTGGGGCGTTGCGTGTGGGGGTGTGTGTGTGGTGGGGTGGGTACATGCGCACATTCCGCACCGCAGCATTGCCTGAAAACGTGGAGAATCTAAGCTCCTGCATGCTCGAGCCCTCCCGCTGAGCAGGCAACTTGAAACGAATCACTGAATCACAGCAGCTGCGCTGCCCTAAGTTTTCATAAAGGTGCTATATAAGAATTATATAAGGGCTATATAAGGGTTATATAAGCGTTATATAAGGGTTATATACGAAGGACTGGAGGGTGTAGTTCTGGGGTGGTGTTCAGAATGCCTTAGACCAAACCCTAAACCCCAAGCCCTAAACCCTAAACCCCTAAGGGTCCAAAGGACCTACACATCTGCAACAACTATCGCCTTTTATGGGTGCTTGGGCCACTCTGTTACATACTTTTGGGGGCTTAGCCCCTTCAGCCCTAAAGTATCTTAAAGGTTTAGGGTTTAGGGTTTAGGGGCCAAAAAGCATCCTAAACCCTAAACCCTCAACCGTGGAGCCCTGCAGCTCAAACCATGGAGCTAGTTGGGGGTTTCCGAAAATTAGGGGTACCTTGTTTTGGGGTCCTTATATTAAGGATCCTATTATTTAGGGTACTATATTCGGGTCCCCTATTTTCAGAAACCACCAGTTCCAGCACAGCTAACTATAGGCCTGCAACGGGATGGACCCAGGCCCAGTCACCCCAAGCTGACATCCATACATTTCCATACAGGCCTCCATATTCAAACGAGTTCTGGGGTAGGGGGGGGAAACATATAGAGTTTTCGGGTTGAGGTTCTAGGTTTCCGGGTTTGGGGTTTGGGTTAGGTTTCAGGCTTTCGGACTCAGCCTTGCGAGCTGACATAGAAACTGCAGAACAGCCGTTTGGAACCACTGCCCCTTTGCAAAAGAGGCTTCCTGCGGTTCCAAGCTGGTTGGAGGGAACCCTTACATATTGTATATTTAACTACATATCATATTTGTAATTCGTATTACCATATCTATTTTATTTGACAAGTTTTGCTATTTCTATTGCTGTTGTTATTCTTATTGGTATTACCGTTCTTGGTATTCTGATTAATCCCAATACCCCCGGGCCCCCCCCTCACCCTAACCGGGGTCAACTTAACCGCGGAAGCTTACACTCCTTGACCACGTTGATCCTAAACCCCAGAAGCTTCTTGTCCGACCTTCCAAGAAGTTCCAAAAAGGATTTGGGTTTGGGGTTTGGGGTTCCTCTAACGATTCTACAAGGAGTCATTGAAGTCCTCCCGTAACTTTAGAGGACGGCCCCTCTCACGGTTACTACAAGGAGTCCGTGACATGCCCCCTAAACTTGATAATAGAGGGACCTTTAACAATTAGAATAGAATGTGGGGGTATATTATACTACAAGTATAACCAGGAACCCCAAAGCCCTATTGAAAATTATAGGGTTCCCTAAACTCCCTAAACCCTATGCCTAAACCTTATTCGCGCCCGACCTGGCCGTCTCTTGCTTTCCACTCAGCGAAGACGGCCTGTTGGTCCAAGGGCTTCCCAAAGGGCCCTAAGCTATATAGGAGAAAGCAGGATTTCTATTATAGGAAGTGGGCACCATTATGGTTTGAGCAAGTATCACCTAAAGAGTAGGAAACAGGAATATTTCTATAACAGGAAATATGTACTATTATGGCTTGGGCAAGTACCCCCCATATCGTGCAAAGTAGGGTTTCTATAATCAGAATTATGTACCATTATCCCTTGTAATGTAGGTATTGTAGGGGCCTGAATAATTACCAATACTATTTTGGGGGGTTCCTTATTTCAAGTCAAATATTCTATTTTTCAGGCCCCTATATACGTACTTAGGACCCCTGAGGATTGATTTTGGCCATCTCGGAGCTGAAGGTTAGGGCAGAAGGTTGGGGATTTAGGGTGAAGGGTTTAGGGGTGGCTTGGGGCTTAGAATCTCGCAACTTCGGATTAGAACGGTATCGACGACTTCCGGGTCTGGGGTTCTCCAGAATCGTATGTTTAGGGGTAGGGTTTAGGGGTTTAGGNNTTTAGGGGTGTAGGGTTTAGGGTACTGGCATGAAGCTGGGTCTGCAGACTTCGGGCAGCTTCGCAGGCAGAAAACAACCAACGTAAGCACAAGCCGGTCTAAAGTTTCATGCCTAAACGCTGAAACCAGGAAAATAGTCTACACGCATTCAAAAAATGAACCCTCATCCCTCTTCTACGATCGGCACGGTTTCATGGTTTAGGACTGGTCGAGGGTCATGATTGAAGATTCTTCTCGCCCTTCTTCTCGCCCGGGGCGCCAGTGAGATGATCGCTGCCGACGCAGCGACAGAGTTTCGGGTCTAGGGAGCTGTATGGCCGCTTTTGGGTTGGGAGGTTAGGTTTTCCGGATTAGATTAGGTAATGGTGGTGATGAACATGGCGATCATGAAGGTGAAGAGACTGGCCACGTAGTGCCACACGGCGCTTTGAAGACTGTAGCGTGGCAAGAATGTAGTTTGTCAAAGCTTAGCAGCCCATGTAGGTTCATCGCAATAGGGATGACAAGATAGGACCTCCTGTCCCCCGACCCCAATCTACCGTTCCATGCACCATCATAGGGCTTGTGCCAGACCTCCTACACCCTACAACCGAAGCCCGAAATCCTGCCGTCCTACCGCGCGGCTTCAGCCCGGTACCCCGGAAATCCCCAATATGGAATCATCCTCAAATCCACGGGCCTGCCCGCCTCTGAAGCTCCCTTAGAAGAAAGAACACTTTAAATCCGAGAACGACCGGCTAACCAAACCTTTCAGTAACCTTAAGCTTAAAATCTGTGAAAGAGCCCTTCAAGACAATCTCTAAAGCAACTAAAGATCCCAGTATAGCCCCCCAGACGTCGAGGCCCAAGAAAAAACACTCATGGCATTGGGGATTAGATTGGTTGGTTGGTTGGTTGGTTGGTTGGTTGGTTGGTTGGTTGGTTGGTTGGTTGGTTGGTTGGTTGGTTGGTTGGTTGGTTGGTTGGTTGGTTGGTTGGTTGGTTGGTTGGTTGGTTGGTTGGTTG